CTGTATATATATATATATATATATATATATCCATGTCAGTGTAAATTACTTGTACCTGATGATGACTAAACCTTGTCGAAACATTGTACATTTGCTGTTATGTTAAACTTATATTAAAGTTTTTCTTCATTACCCATTCAAACCGTCTCCAACCATTATTTGTCTCAAAGTGGGTTCCTCGTCATCGAATTATGTTTGAATATTGTTTTTACCTGTAATGTTAGCCAGTGTTGTAAAAGAGAGTCAATAGGCTGGACTGTAAATTTATGTAACGTTTCTAGATTTAATGATTAGAAGCTTTATTCCTCATTGTTGACTTACATGTGGAAAGTTCTGTGTATTAAATGGTGGTTAATAATTTGATGATATGAAATTGATTGATGAATATTTTAAAAAAGTGTTTTCAGTATGTTATAAGTGCAGTAAATAAGAGTAATTTATGCATTGTAAAACAGTCCATTGCGGATCAGGGCCAATGTTAATTTGTTCAGTGAAATTCTGTTGTTGTGAGGAAGTCAATTTATTTACTCGAAAGGATTTAAGTTGTGATTTTTTGAGCCATTCTCTCAATCAGTTATTTTTTGTGGAAACAAAAAACTATGTTATTATTGTTATCTCCTTTGCCCAGAATGAACATATTTTATTATATATTTTTACATGAATACATATAATTTAAGGATAACAAGAGACCTGTTAGTCCATCTAGGCCACCTCATCAATTAAACTAAACTTTAAGTTACAAAAACTCAAAGCCAGCCCACTCCCTTAAATTAACTGCATGTACCACATCTGAAGGCAACCCACTCCAAAGGACAAGTACACTGTTCGAAAAATTAAGCTGTCATAGCTGAAGACAACTCCTACCCTGCCAAAATTTATACTTCTATTCTCTATTCCTACCATTCTCACTATTAAGTATGAAAAATATGATGCATCAATATTATCAATTCCCCTAATTATCTTAAACACCTCAATCATATTTTTTCTAACTTTTTATTTTTAAAGAGAAAACAGTTTCAGAAACCTTAACTTGTATCATTGTATGACAACCTTTCTATCCCAGGTATCACCCTAGTAGACCTAATCCGAACCCTTTCCAACAATTCTGTGTCCTTCCTAAGGTAAGGCACCCAAGACTGAACACAGTATTCCAAATGTGTCATTGTTGGTTTACTCTATGAATGTCTTTAATTTTAATATATAAAATATTTTGCTTAAGAAAAACGATATGAAGTTTCCAAACTACCCATAACCAAGCAAGAACCAAAAGAAAATAGACTAGGACAATATGATGTAATTAGAACCTTTGACAACCATCAGTCAATAACAATTTGAAGTAAACATTCATAAAGTGAGAACTAGCTTGCTAGAGGCTGTGAAGCATTTCTCTTGTTACATACATTGGGTAGAGACTAGTTCTTGTATTTTATGTAGCTCAGCATCCTCTTACTGCAAATGCAAAGTCTATTGTGAAGCAAGTTAAAAGAGAAGTAAGTGAAATTGAAGTCTGTCCTGATTGCTACAGTCATTCCTGTTCTCTGAAGGATGATTGGTTCATTGAACCATGTGTAAGTTTCTTTAATCTACTAGTAACTAGTATATATAATTAGTGCTTAAATGGGGCTGGATCTTGCCTAAGAAGAATGATTAAAGACATTTTAACATGTCCTTCAGGAGCCAAGGGGTGTCTTTATGCTACAATTTGTTTAATATTAAAAGTAAGTTCAATCTGGAACTCCGAAAGAGGTTGGTTTTGGACATATCTTTTCCAAACAACTTCGAGACAAGTTTTTGTTTGTTAATTGATAAATTTTTAAGTGAAATACAGCATCCTCAAGTCCCCATACTAGCTAGTACTAAGGTCTACCTGCTGGGAGTAAATTCAGTATATACCATTAAAGCCACATTCTCAGCATCATTAATTAAGCAATTGCCAACCTTTTATGTTTAGCTTTCACTTGAGATACAAATGATTTCACCTGCAATTCGGTAGGGAAGGTCAAAGCATCATAATAGTCAGCAGTACGATAAGCAGACAGGAACACTTTAAAAGCAGCTACAGGCATAATATTGTGGTTCTAAATGATTCCTGAATACCTCTGCGTGTAATTTGGAAACTTCCATGCTTTTTGTGCTTGGCCGTTAAGCTCATGATGTGCTGAAAAATTTCGGTCACCTTACCACTTCAAATCACTTTTTGCCAACCCAACACTAAAAGAGTGTGGGAAATGCCTTCTTTTTAGCCAAAATAAAAATTTCCAAAAAATTTCAGTTCAAATTAAGAAAAAACTGGATTGGGTAGTTTTTTTTTTCAACAAAAATGTCCCTCACTGGCTCGTGAGGGGCCTGTTAAAATATATTTGAGCTATGCATGAAATTGTTTGTAATTATTGGAGTATTTAACAAAAAAAAGACCTGCCTCCAAAGGGATTCAATTCAAAGTTAACACTTTTTACATGATTTATATTGTACATAGAAAGCAACATGCAGGTTATTTATGTCAGGTCGACATTAGACATTAAGCATAGATCTAAATTCAGCTTTCGGTTCCGTGAAATAAAATAATCACTCTAATTTACTGGTAATTAAAGTGAGTCCTAAAATTTTGTTGTATTTTCAAATTCGTCTATTATAACAAAGAAAAAAAAGACTATAAATCTGAATTGTACTACACTAGCACCGAGTTTTACCATTATGAGCACAGCAGTTGATGGTAATGGAAAAGAAGAATTGAGGTTTAGGCTTTGTGTAATTGAAGATGAATATGATGATGTTAGGCCTATGAAGAGTGATTTGCCTGTGTGCAGGTTTTTTATAGCCAAAATTCGATTTTTCTGAAAAAATATTGGATTATAGCAAAAAATAGCCAGCTGGAGTGTAATATATATATATGTTCCAAGATTGTAACATTATGTGTAGAAAAAGACTTGTGAATGAAACTGTGCAGTGGATAAAGTATCAAGATTGTTCTTGTGGTGATACAAAATCCAAACAAGAAATATCCTTAACAAAAAACGTTTACAAACACAGAGACAGTGCATCCCATAAGGCCACCATAAAAATCTTAGAATCTTCTAAAACTAAATCATTAGAGAACACGTGTGCTAGAAGTATGGTACATCATGAAGAGACCACTGCCAAAGTATTCAGGATTGCAAATGACGTTGTAAAACAGAATTGGTCTTTTCGAGACCTTAGAGGTAAAACTGATTTGTGATTTGATGCGAGATGGATTACTTCATATAGATGTGTGTTGCACAAATATTGTAGAACACATTTTCAAAGAGTACAATTCAGTCAGAATCAAAATTTGATATTTTGGTTTGTGAATCCATTACATTAAATCATGCTTCTGCTTTAGGTTTGTGTATCAGGCAGGTGGCAGCACTGTCTATGTAGGGATGGCTCGGATTGGTCATTGAAATGATATTTTAAATATCTCTTCAATAGATCATCATAACTTTACAATACTATACAGTGTTTCATTTTATAACAGTAGGGATGGAATTAACATGCAGCAATATATATATATAACTATTCAATCACAATTTAGTTTGATTTATCCTGTTTTTATCTGTTATCACTGTACTACACTGTGTACCTGTGCTATTATGTAGGGATGATACAAGTGGCATTTCTACTATCTTGTTTGCATTGTTTTTGAAGGATTGATATTAGCCATCCCTACATCTACTTCCTTTTTTGAAAAGGTTTTTCTTTACTTGTACATATATTTCTGGCTCATACAGAAATAGAAGATCTGGTAAACTTTTTCTTAGATTTAATTGAGCTTTCAGATATGAATGCAAATGGAACTTTTACTAATTGAATAAAAACCCATAACACCATTGAATTCACAGAAGACTTTTTAGGGACAGCTTAGTAGCATTTTTTGGTAATGTTGCATAAGTAGTGCTTGGAAAAAAGAATGGTATTGCCAAATTGCTGAAAGGTTAATTATCCAAAATAAGATTGTGGAATGGGACTTGTTGATGATGCTCTGAATGAAGTAACTGGCATCAGCTACTTTAGAAGCTGTATGTAAGTGTGTAATAAGACTCGTAAGGGCTGGCCTCAGCTTAGGGTAAGGGGGCCTCCCTCCTGATATATTACCCACGTTTATTTGTACAGTATTTTATTTTGCATAAACTACATATAAACAGATCAACTTAATTAAATCATAAAACAATAACATTCGCATATCATAGTTTCATCAGAAGTGAAGTTTCTTTTTTTTTTTCTGTGGAAAACAGTTGACCACATTCTTTGTATCCAGACACCTAGATCTTTCATCTTATATTTACAGAATGACGAGTTCAATTCATTGTGTTTCCTTCATTGAACTTCTTAGATAATTCTTGCTTAAATTTAATTTGGAGAAGATGCACCATGCTGATGTTTCTGTGACAGAAAGTGTAAGAAATAGCAAGAATACTGCACACACACATCTGGAAATGCTGTTGAAAGTACGTGTTTGTCTACCACAAGTAATGTTGTAACTTCTTTCACAGAGCTTACTTTCAGAGTTCGAACATTCTCTATAAAGATAATAGCTGTTCCGATAGTGTTGCAGATAGATCTGTTTTGTAAGTCTCTGCTATGGATTATCCTGAACCGTAAAGCTAATCGTCTGAAGAAAGAGAAGTATTGCAAGGATTTTGAGAGTTTATTTCTAACTATAGCAAAAAGAAAGGACCATCAACATCATTTTGATATCAACAAGCAAGTGCAAAAAAGGGTTTTTTCAAATAAACTTAATGTAACACCTCTAAGAGCTACACTGTTAACAAGCACTGTATCATGGTTAATATTTATATGTCTAGTTGAACCTCCTATAGAAATTTTTAACCCAATTTGTTTTTATTTTCAAAACTTGGTTCTAGAACTTTTGTATATACATATATTTGTTTTAGTTTGTTTTTTAACTTAAGTGTGAGGTTCATCTCTCCTGTTGTTTGAAACTGTAAACTGTGAGTTTTGAACAATTTAATGTTAGAAAATTCCCAGTGTATTAATGTTTCACTGAAATTGTGTCTGATTGTTGTGCCTACTGCATTGGAAAGGAATTAATCTAGTTGCCTGATGTAACTAAAGCTTCCTTTCAACATAGGTTCTTATTAAATTCAATTTTTTCTTATTATTATTTCACTACATTGGTTGAATTACATAACAAATATTTAAACATTATATCATTAAATTGTGTTGCTGCTTCTAAATAGTTTAAGAAGCTGCTAGACTGCGAAATTTCCATTTCATAGAACTAATAAAAATGTAATCTTTTATTGTCTAAAAAAAATCATGAAAAGTATATCCCAGATTTTCTTTTATTTAATGTTTTTTTTCTCAATTTTGGGTAGGTGACTACTAAATGTAATAGCTTTAAAGTGTAAATATGAGTTTAATGATTCTTGTTACTAATTATTATTTGTGTAGTAAGTTATTAAGGAGTTTTATCTTCATAAATTGGTATATGTATTTTTCTATTATATTTTTCAGAGAATGTCACACACTTTGATATATGCCAAGTTAAAAGGTTATCCTTTCTGGCCAGCAAAGGTGAGAAAGTATTTAAAACTTTGATTATCTGTCTGTCCTTGCATGTCTGTTTATCTCTATACTTATGTATGTTTTTAATAAATTACAGACAAAACACATTATATTTTGTTCTGTACCTTCGAGAAAGGTTTCTTAATACATTTCCTCTCAAAATGGGTGTAGATGAGGTTATACGTGATCTTCGTAAGTACTTTCCTTTAACTGGAGGTGATAATTGCTATTTAGGTTTTTTAGATGGGCGAGAAACTACTGATCCAGAACATATACTGGATTGTTTCGAGTATTTGTAAACAAAATTTTAAATAGCTAGTAGGATGCAGGAAAACTTGATAAAAATCAAAAGAAAAAAGTCAGTATTAAGGAATATAATAATATTTTTACTAGTTCAGGGATATCTACTTACATGTACTTACCTGTGTTACTTAAACAACTTCAGATGCAACTCACCATCCTTTTTATGCTGAGTCATATATAAAAACCTTTTGAGCTTTTATATATTTTATCTGTATTTTTTAATAGTGTTAATAGTATTGTTAATACAAATATTATTGGGTTAGGTTTTTAAGAAGTTTTCAGTGAATTGTTCTACAAATAAATATATTGTTGTTAAGTTCAAAAAAAGGACATAAATATATATACATATTTGCATACACACACAAGTTTTTTATGTATATGTACAGTTATCAATTTGTTATTGTAACATAGTGATATTTTTTAAATAAATTATATATTAAAATATTCTTTTGATGTTGTTTTTTAGGCTGCAAGGGTCCTAAATGGCTTTATTGATGCCAGATTTTTTGGTGCTCATGACAGGTAAGATATTCTGTTTTAAATCTAACAACAAGTATATATTTTTCTACTCCACAAATATCAACAGCAGCTTCCTTTTTGCCATATTTTTGTCAGTGAATAATCATTTGATTTTTTTTATCTTCTGTAAATCTTTAGGTAAATTGTCTTTAGGAAAGAAAAAAATTTAAATTTGAAGAGACATAATAAGTAACTTGTTTAAATAAAAACACGTATGCCATTCATATACAGAAAAATGTTCTAAGGAAATTTATGTTATTTTTATTCAGAGCATGGATCCCAATTGATAAGTGCTATTTAGTTTCCAAAGATCCTCCAACTCCCCTCAAAAAGAAAAATATGGCTCTTCAGCGTTCAATGGAAGAGCTGCAGGCACACTTGGGTAGGCTTCAGAAGAAAAATATTCCTTTTAGTTATGCTCCATACAAGACAGTAGTAGATCCAGAGAAAATTGTCACATTATCCAAGGTACGTTTTCTTATCACTTTTCAATAAGTTTTGTAATGAAGAAATATGCTGGACATTTTGTTTTGATCCCTAGTGGTTCAGTGGTAAGTCTAATGGCTTATAACACAAAAACTCAGGTTTTGATGCTCACAGTGGACTTTAATGGACCATAATTGCCTGTTGAAACAAAAGGAGACGATGTTTTTGCTTCTGTACTGAGGCCTAGAAACTGAAACATTGTTTCTATTTCTTTTAACAGGTAGTTGCAGTCCATTAAAGTTTTCAAACTTATTATGTCTGCTTTGCCTGAAGTTCCACTGAGAGAACATAGATAGCCCATCATGTCGCTATGTGCTTAAAAACAAACACAATTGTTAATTAATGCTGCCTTTCAAATTATTTTCCAATAAAATACAGGTTAAAAACATAAGTTCAGATACATCTTTGTATGTGGATGAATCAACTTTCTATGATATTTTGACTTTTGAGTTTAGTGTAACTTTCATCATTTCTGTTATTACTCTGAGGTGTCACACTTAGGTTATTTTTCATGGAATCAGAAGGAGATGAACCTTCACTCACCATTGTATATTGGGATTCCATAATTGACAGTCTACTGTTCAATTTTGTTATTGTGATCTAGTTGCAGCTGTATAGAATTTTTTTCTTGTTTCTTAACTGTATGTATTAAGCTTGCATGTTTATATTCTTTGTTTTTTAACTGTATGTATGAAGCTTGCATGTTTACATTCTTTGTTTTTTAACTATGTATTAAGCTTGCATGTTTACACTCTTTGTTTCTTAACTGTATGTATTAAGCTTGCGTGTTTACATTCTTTGTTTCTCAGAATAGTACTTTGTCATTTACATATTTTGATATTGCTGTTGCTTCTAGGATACCTGTTTTTATACAGGGGTTTTCTCAGTTTGGTTAGTGGACGTTCAGTTTCCTGTAGATGAAACTGTTCATTCCTTACTGGCTCACTGACTTTCCTGTTTTCAGGATCTGAGGCTGGAAAGCCATCAGGTTTTTTTTTCAGTATTCAAGTTCTGAACCTCTAATTATGTTAAATGTGTGGTGTACTCAATGGTCTCTTATTAATCTGCAAGTTATTTTGGGGATGGATACTTTGGCTGTGATTTAGGTGTGCCATCAATAATTCTTACCTCCTGCTCTGGTGAGATTATGTTTTGGTGATTGGTTCCTGTTAGACCCCTACAATATTTCTGTTTCTCCTTATTTATTGCATGACTCTGAAGGAAAGTGAATTATCTGTTTTCACTTTCTCCACATTTCTCTTCAAGGGCAAAGTTTTCATTGTTATCTTAATATCTGGTGTTCATCTTTGCTCACCTGTGATTCACTAAATCGGTTGAGTTTTTCAACATTCTCTCCTATATTCTCTTGCTTCTTGGATTAAGCTATTGGTCAGACGTGAAAAGGGGCGTATCTTTTTTAATACTAAATTGGAAAGGTAGAAAATTTATGGTGGTATCAAGCAAATTATTTACTAAAACTTTGTTGCATTTTTTTCAATTATAGTGACAAATTTTTATAAGAATATGCTGAGTTAAATAGTATTTCATACAAAATTAAAACTTGCTTAGTTGTATGCCCTGTATTTTTTCAATGAGCTAATTTTGTTTCAAAAATATGTAATTTTTTTTAACGGAAAAATAGCTTTTCTTTAGAGTTTAGGCAGTCAATATAATTCAGACAAATATATATTTCTGTTATTGTTTTTAAAATATTTCCACTTAATTGTAGAATCATTGTGTTAAGTGTTATAGAAATCTGTCCCATAACTTAGATATATTTACATTTAAAACATTTTGTGTGATTTAACCTTGATTATGGCCTAAGCCAGTAAAAGTTATATAATTTGAACCAAAGTGTGCAAAAATTGATTAGGCTTTAATAAGAAATTTT